GCCTTGGTGAAAGGCAAGTGCGCTTTCCACTGCACCACCCGACCATCACATATACATGTATATCGGAACCCTGGTATCTATGTTGCACATATATACTGAAAAACCTGTTCCATTTTACATCGACAGTATAAGAGGCCAACTGCGGTTTAAAAATAACGACCTGCTTTCGAACATTTTTGATATAAAACATATATATGTTATAGAATATTTATATCTCGCGAGGCATTTCTGTGTGATATTCCATATCACGCGAGACAACATTCGTAAGACACGTTGATTGAAACACGAATTGATTTTCTCGGGGATAAATACACAGGCCAGTTCGCAAATTTAAATTTGCGGGAATGCAGGTATTCGATGTGGACTTAAAAGATCGGATATCTTGTAAAGGTTCCCATTTTTAATAAAGGTTCCGAGGGCTTACAAGTTATTTAATAGTTTCTCTATGAAAATAACAATAAATTCCATAAAGCTTATTTACAAGATAAAGAATAATAGAAGAATGAATGAAAACATTGTATCCAAGTTCATATTTAGAAAGCTTCGGATATATGCCTAGTAGCTAGTCGTAGTGATTTAAATTATTTTATGTTTTATTAATTTATAGTATTGAAAACGTGAAACAAAGAAATATTTATATATTGAACTAATGAAAGTATCAATGAATCATGTGAACGTCTGTCGTTGTGGGAACCCAGGGCTCCTTAAAGACCTGTCTCATAATTAGTTGTAAATGCTCTGGGGAGAAAAAAATAGTTTTTAAAAATAGTTTTAAACAGATTTATATCAGTTCTACTCGGTATAGAGTTATTTCGTGTATGTTTGACGATGAAAGGATCTAGTTACTCATCAATCCTTTCCTGGTCGGTTGAACGAAACGTGTTTTAACGGGACGACATGCTAAGTAAGAACCTGGGATGATTCTTACTCCGGCCTCCTGTATCATTAATACCCCCTGTGCGCTTTAATTCTTCCGAACCAACAAGAGAAAATTGTATAATAAAAATTATATATTAATATAATGTAAAATAAATATAATGTAAAATAAATATGTATGTAAAGAGGAATGTTTCTTTGTTGACAATAACGATATAACGTAGCTATACTGAAAGTTGACAGAGTTATCTCGCTTTGCAGTAACTTCTGCTTTTGGAAAACACCGCTTCTAAGAATAGCAAACCGAAAGGAGACCTGTTCGCAAGAAAAACGGAAATACGTGTAGGCGTACAGGGAATTACATATAAGATAAACGCATAGTATATATATATCACATCGTAAGGCATATAGGTGCACCCAAAGGAAGACTTGACAATGGGTTTGTATCTTAAACCAGCTGAAATACGTTATACCCAGGAAACGATCAGCGGTGTTTTTCGACAAAACACTAGGCACAAAAATACACAGATCGGAAAGACACTTGACGACATTTTGGTAGCATCTTCTTCTATAGACCAGATTCCAAAGATAACTGTGTGTAAAAAGAATGGACAGTGGTATAGTTTCGACAATCGCCGGCTATGGATATTCAAAAAGTTAGAAAAATATGGGAAATGTTCGAAAATTCTAGTAAAAATATCTAAAAAATTAAAAAAGATTAAATTCACAACAAAAAGTGATGGAACAACTGTGAAGTTAAGGGGAGGTGACGCTGGAGGTACTTACTGGCGACAACAGGAGGAACTTGTAAAGTCCCATCACAGGTATGTCAAAGGAAACTTCAAAACAAAAAACAATTCATTTAGTAACTCACATTCATTAATCCAACGGAATGTTGGTTAATCCGGTTATAGACGCTGAAAGTAGACACTCTACGTAATTTTGGAAGGGTTGATATTGATAGACCTGTGCGCAATATCTACCCAGCGTTGTAGGAACGACAACTCTGGGTAGAGATTGGACAGGTGCGGGTGATTTCATTTTCACTTTCACTTTCATTTTCACTTTCACCACTTCACCGTGGGTAGAGATTTGAAAGGTGCGATTGATTTCACTTTCATTTTCACTTTCACCACTTAACTGCTGATGTACTTCCTTATTTTTCATGATGACCAATACGAGTAAACAGAAAATCCCTCATATTTCCTACAATCGGACAATGTCTTGATATTCTTTTTCAGTATACTATATTTTTTTCTATGGAAACTTTTTTAACAAGAATTCATTGATGTGCATAATATTTTTATTACTTTCAGTGATCCGCATGATAGTACATCACACGTACGTAAAGAACCGGCCACTGAATTGCACTACAAATACAAAAACACGGAATCAAAAAGAACACCTTCATCTGCGTCGCTTACAACAAGGTCAGTACATGGTGACGGAGCAGAAAACTTCAGTGATTTGAAAAACGATACTTCTTCAAGGCCTTCCTCGGCCGTTTTGGATTTATATTTTTCCATTATGCTAAAATCTTCAGGGACATCAAATAGAAATGGATTAGACAAAGCTGATACAAAATTAAAGTTACCAGAAACATCTGACGGTTTGGATTCAACATTCAACGATTCCCACTATGATGAAACACATACGTTGCCAGTTTCACCAGAAACATCAGATGACGGACCAGATTCAACTTTAGGTGAATATTACAATGACGTTACATGCTTGCCAGTTTCACCATTAACATCTGATGACGGTTCGGATTCAACATTAACCGATTCTCACAATAATGTTACGTTGCCATTATTACAAGAAATGCGTGTTTGTGACTCCGATTCGACACTATGCACTCAAACAACCCGGAGACATCGTCCACAGACACGACCCTGATGTCTCCGGTTTTAACAGACTGATAGCTGATACAGAATTAACTTGGTTTACGCTTAGCCTATCTAGGACTCAGCTTTTTATCTGCAGGATGTTCTGCTAGTACAGTCAGGTCAACATCTGAAAATCAAACACCGACACTCCGATCATCGTCGGAATATGGAGGGAAAAAGAAAAAAACGGAAAAAGAGAAAGAAATAACTTTTTTAATTAATTAAATTCACACATCATGGTCTTGCTTTTGTAACCTGATGCAGCTTTAAAAATATTTCCATGCATTTGAACATCTCGTCTTGAAATCACAACCAACTGAAAAAGTCCTTATGCGTTAACCGTATAGGTTTTGAATAACACTGGTACTGATAAATAAACTTAATGGACACGTTTGAAATGTTTGTTGTCATTTTATCAATAACCGTTCGAATAATTGCAGTTGTATTTGAATCATCCAATTAAAACAGTTAACTGATGATCTAGCTAACCCATGCCTGTACACCATAATCTCAACACGCCGTTAACCCAGTTTGTGATCACTTACCTGGCTCAATAGACAATAGTTAGCCAATATACTGAGATGTAACGGGTTCAACACGTAATAGAAGACATGGAAGTGTTGTTTGATAAGAATAGGAGTGTTAACCTGTTTCCAATTATTTTCTTTGTGAACGTCATAAATTGCTTCGAATAAGAAACATAACTTCAGAACTCAAAGGTGGTTTATAAAAAAAATAATGGAAGTATAGAAGAATTGGGCCTAGTTAGTAAAATATACTGACAGCTAAGTATGATTACTGATCAGTCTGATATCTATTATCAAAAGTGTGCTGTAAAAAGAGTGCGGTTTACTATTTACCTGCATCCCTTTCAAAACTTCCCACGACAACAGTTAGCCAGATGCATGGAAACTCTTAAACCTGTACGTGATAATGATTAACCCGTTTGGAAATTGTTGAATTGCAAGAGTTAAGCCCGATTTTCATTAGCATAAAGTACGGTAATGAAAATTATTCTTCAATGTTATTTACTAGTTTTCAATTTTCATTCAAATAATGAAAAGCATTTGATCCATGCTGAAAGAAAATGAAACGGAATCGAAACAAGAAATATCTTTAAGAAAATATAAACGGAAGAGTGTTTATTTATGTGGTGATCAATCAGAAATAGCTGTGTACCTGTGGCATTGCTCAAAACATTTGATTAAACGAGTGGATATCAAAGAAACTAATACTAAATTACTACGGAAAGAAAACACACATTTTACCAAAATGTTGAAAATCCCTATTATATTCATAATACTTCTTATTGTTTAGTTATTAACTTTTTTTTTCTGAATATAAATCGAACACAATAACTGCAGGTGCTCCCCACTGTTCCTACTCCATATCAAAAATCACGTTACTCAAATATCAGACTTTTTGCAGATGCTATGTGTAATTGTAGATAATGACATTGATGTACCTGTGGATATACTTAATTCAATTACTGCATGGACTGACCAATGGTAGATACTCTTTAATCCAAATAAAACAGTAACTGGAACCTCCACCCGTAAACATGCTTACCTCCATTCCACTCTTTTTAATACATCATCTTATTACATAAACCTACCACCACAACCATTCAGTATAATTTAGCATCAACATTGAACAGAAAGCGTACCTAGTTTGATCATATTTATACAAACAAAAAAAAGTCGATAGAAATACCCTTAAACACTATACATTTATATCATACATTTTAATTATACGAATTTTAGAATATTTGAATAGTGTATGGAACAACTGTTTTAAATTAGAATATGATCTACTTGTATATGTTAATTTTGAAGCATAAAATCAAACATTAACTACGCATTTTGATATCGTTATTTCTCTCTGTCTTAACCCTAATACAATAACTGATCATAAGTGATAAACGGATTCAGGCTGTTTAGTCTGATGTCTTCTACACTTTTCTTGAACAACAATTCTACTCAACGTTCCTGTTTCGATCGAAGGTATCGGATAGTATTGTTCATCTTTATAACAGCATGTCTGATTGGATGATACTGATCACATGACAGAGGAATGATACATCATTACTCGCGCGCTCGAGTTTTCCCAATCATATTTCCCTTTTTCGGAGCTTCCCTAGAAAATGAGCAAAGCCACCACAACCGAGTTCCAAATGACTGAAACAGACGACGACGAAAACGGTGCCTCAACAAGATGTTGCCTACGATATAATTGTATGTGAAATATGGATTGTCCTTGTGGGCAAGATTCTTTCTTTCTCCGAATTTTGCCCTCGTGAAACATGATGAATTTCGGAGAAAGAAAGTCTTGTTTCCGAACCTCAAGGATGAAACATGTATAATACTAGTATATCAGATATGTGTTTAGGTCTTAGCTCAGAGATGCATTGTTTTTCTTATATATTTGTATTTTCTGTTATACTACTGTATTATTAATATTGAAATCCTTTTTGAATTTCATCAGTGTGTGTTATTATGAACCAAACATGTTTAAGTATTTGATAGTGGCCATTGAGTTAAAATAAGTCAGGGTAACTGATACATGAGTGCCAGTGTATTTCAGTATGTTTAGTATCGCAAGCGTAACGGTAATACTAAAGCACTAATAGCTTTTGTGCAAAGAGAATGTAACACAATTGGAAAAAAGAAATGGAGAGTTAACCACAAATGACAAGGAAAAGGCAGAAACTTT